TCAGCCCCTGCAACCATTAGGAGTTAGGACAAGCCTCCTGCCTGATGCCTGACCCATGGCTTTGGAACTTGCCAGCCTCCACAACTGCGTGAGCCATTCCCTTGAAAGAAATCTTTCTATATATATGGTTAGGGAAACCCTGGTGGCGTGGTGGTTAAGAGTTCAGCTGTTAACCTAAGGTTGGCAGTTCGAATCCACCAGGCGCTCCCTGGAAGCCCTATGGGGCAGTTCTACTCTGTCCTATAGGGTTGCTATGTGTCTGAGTTGGAATCCACTCAATGGCAACAGGTTTGGTTTTATATATATATATATATATATATATATATATGTATATATAGGTCATCCAGTTTGAGCATGCCATCTGTTTTCTGAAGGGAGCCTTACTCATAGAAAGGAGAAAATCACAGAACATGATACAGGCTGAGAAAAGGATTTGATCCAAGTGCTGTCTTTCTCTCCTGGAACCTACTGACTTCTGTTGAGTGCATCTTACCTTCCTTGGTTTTTAGGCTTCAGTCTCTGTTTTGGAGTATATGAAGGCTGCTGTAACTTGAAGTTTGTTCTTTTGGCCCAGGCAATGTATGACAATTTCTTTTAGGGCCCACCACCAACCATCTTCTCCCACTGACTACACTCTCCACCTCAGCTTTTGCTGGTACTGTGGATCCTTAAAGACTTACCCATGTGCATGGTCCATTTGGCCCCAAATTTTGGCCTTTGCCATGGTAACGTCCAGGAAGAAATCTCACTCAATTCATAGCTACTCCTGCATTGCTCCAGAGTTACATGGGAATTTCTAGACCTCTTCCACACAATGGAATACCAAGGGGTACTCTCCTAGGTTCTTTCTGTCTAAACATGCTGTTACATGCCATTGAGTTAGTTCCAACTCATAGCAACCATATGTATAACAGAACGGAATACTGCCTGGTCCTGCGCCATCCTCACAACCGTTGTTATACTTGAGCCCATCATTTGCAGGCACTGTGTCAATCCATCTCATTGAGGGTCTTCTTCTCTTTTGCTGACTGTCTACTTTACAAAGCATGATGTCCTTTTCCAGGGACTGGTGGTCCCTGCTGATAACATGTCCAAGGTATGTGAGACGAAGTCTCGCCATCCTTGCTGCTAAGAGCATTCTGGCTGTACTTCTTCCAAGACAGATTTGTTCATTCTTCTGGCAGTCCATGGTATATTCAATATTCTTTGTCAACACCGTAATTCGAAGGCATCAATTCTTTTTTGGTCTTACTTATTCATCGTCCAGCTTTTGCATACGTATTCCAAACCAAGGGACACTCCGACTCATAGCAATCCTATAGGACAGAGTAGAACTGCTCCATAGGGTTTCCAAGGAGCAGCTGGTGGATTTGAACTGCCAACCTTTTTGGTTAGCAGCCATAGCTCTTAGCCAGTGCACCACCAGGGCTCTGCATGTTAGGCGACTGA